ACTGCATCCTATAAATACCGCAGCCCCTTGTGCAACAACCACCCCTTTCTGCTTATTTATCTCTGATGATGGATTCCAGTAGGAAGCCGAAACGTCAGGCTAATAAAGCTCTTGTCCCGGCGATCGTGTCTCCTTCTTCAATCAATTCCAGTGTTTTAATTAAATGCCAGAAAATACAGACTAGTTTATATACCATGTTTATCAATCCCATATTGGTCATCAGCATTACGCACAGGCAAGAACACTGGATAATGTAGACAAAATCTGAATGTGTAGGAGAATATGTAGCAGTTAGTGCAGTGGGTGCACCTTCAGTTCCGCAGTCATCAGACAACTCTCATTAGCGGTTTAAGATGGCAGATGCCTTAAATAGCGGCTTTCTGTCGTCTGCTGCGCCAGCAGCTGCGACTGATGGCGGGATCACAACATATGTTGACAGTGTTAGATCGTCAATATAAGCGAAGAGACGAGTCCCAGGAAGTAGTCTTGAAGAGGAAGACACGATCGCCGGGACAAGAGCTTTATTAGCCTGACGTTTCGGATTCCTACTGGAATCCATCATCAGAGATAAATAAGCAGAAAGGGTTGGTTGTTGCACAAGGGGCTGCGGTATTTATAGGATGCAGTAGCCATGCTACCGCATACCTATGAACATTCACGGCTCCCTCCCCTTCATCCGGGATCGTCGAACTTGGTGTGATCATTGCTTGATGGTCGTTAGATCGTGCCAAAAAGAGCTAGTCTCTTGTGCCGGTTTTTGTTATGTGTCACAAAACTCTGTCCTGCTTGTTTGTGATCACGTGGTGTGTGTTTGCGTGTGCTCGGAGTTGCATGTCCAAGGATTGTGTGCGTTTATTATGCAATGATTCAGCAAACAATGCACTCTGCAGCCTGGGTAACCTCGCAACGCTCTGATACCTTGCTTCCTGCCGGCAGATGTCCTTTCATTCCCGCTGGGTATGCAGGACATGTGCATGATTGCTCACTGACTTGTGTCATCCACTCCCTTGCCTCTGATCCACTTTCGTTTTTGGACAAAATCCTGATCATATGTTTTTGTGGACCAGGGGATATAGTAGTATGCCTAGGTGCAGGTCCGGCCATGTTGACCACATGTGCACCCTTCCGCCTTTGGTCTTCTTGGCTGTGTCTGGACACCTAGCTCAGGCGGAGGAAAAGGAGTGAGTGCGACGGATGCTGTGTAAGTCAACCACCTCGATAAACTAACTCAAGTGCAAGCCAACGTGCCTGCTCTCAACTTACGGTGGAGCACACGGTGGACGTCGTCGGCAACCACAGTCGAACTGGCAGTTAATCTAAATACTACTCCCCTTTGCGCTTGTTGTCTTTGATTATGCCGCTACGTATAAATTAAAGACGTCAGTCAGACAAAATTCTTGATTCGACAGTATAGTCCAACCTCTTTTACAGAGTCAACTCGTTATTCTCTCCGGATCTGATCGGATGCCTTCTCTCTGACAGCATGCAGTTGTTTGAAACGGGAAGCAAAACCGGATTTCTCAATGAAAACCAATCCTGGGCAGGAAGGAGACACGATCGTTGGAAGACGGGCTTTATTCGCCTCGCTTTTCGGACTAGCGTCAATTGTTGTACTATTTATATGATGCAGTACCTATGCCTCTGCATTTCTATTCCCTTTGTGTGAGATATTGGTGGGCGTCGGGACAGGTCGTGTACGTGACACCTGCATCAGACAAATGACTGTTTCGGACAATTGTTTGAAGTTTGGGAATGAGAAGAGAGACTGAGGTCGACTGTCTCAGCGCATATATTTCAATATGGAAAATCTGGCGCGCTTGAATTTACTTCGGGGCGCTAACATCCGTAGCTCGAAAGGTTGCCAGCCAACGGGGTAGCTCGGACCGCGCAGTCAGCCCAGTCTGTGTGTGGAGTGGTCGGCGGCAGAACGATGAATCAGGGAGCAAGGACTCCCTCTTAATGTGACTTCCACGGCACTCCCACTCAGCAGGCTCCAAACCGGTGTGATGACTAACCTAGGTGCGGGTTCCTGTCCCACCAGCCATCTGCGCGCTCTCCCGCCTCTGGTCATTTTGACTCCCCAATGGCGCCGGATGTAGGTGGAGGAGAGAGTGCGGTTGATGCTTCGCAAGTTAACCGTCGCTATAAACTAATTCACGCATAAGTCACCGTACCTGCGCCGACATTGTTGCGGAGAACACAGTGGACCTCATCGGAACCAATGGTTAAAAGATCGAGCACACCTTTTAAAACTGGCGGGTCCCGTATTCATCATAAATGCTCGCACTTGGTGCGGCAATCACTTGTTTGCTGAAATCCCGCCGTTTAATTTCGTGATTTTATCACTTGTGTTGAATCTTTATGTGGTAGATTCAATTGACACATGAGGCCTGTTAGAGGTATCAGCTGATTTGTTTATTATTTTAAACCAGTACTAATGGTAGGGGGCGCTCACCGATCGTTCATACGGAACTCACTCGTTCCGTTGTGCCTTAAGGCTCGAGCCCAACCAGCAGCCGCACAGCGGCGCATGATATAAAGGCAGAATTGTATTACCGACAAAGACAAGGAAGACTGGAATGGCCATTTCTGGCTTACTAGCCGTCGTCAGCCAGCCATACCCAAGCCCGAAGTGTGGAACACCCGAGCCTCGAACTCACGACCTGTTGGTTTAGAAGTCCACGCCCCTACCCACCGGGCCAGTACTAATATATAATATACAGTATTTGCCCATGGCCTGTCGACTTTTGGTGCACCCGAATTCAAAGTTATCCATACACTTCTTCATAGACGTTTCCGTAAAAAAGGTCAAATGCGCAGGTACTCCCAGGACGAATGCTAGATGTCCAGCTATTCTAAGCTTTCAGTGTGGTCTTCATTCGTCGGACCTTTCGAAGTCTCTTATATGCTTAGCAGTGGATGTACGGACAGCTAAACCGCAAAAAGGCTGTTCTGCGCTTATAAGCCGTATCTATACAACTTGCCTGTGCAGAATGGGTCGGTGTTGCTCCCCTGTTTGTGAAGGTGCCCTAGGTGCGGTTATAGACTGGAACAACTAGCATGGTCAATCGCCATCGCTCTTCGTTTCGGAGACCGCGCAACCCAGTGTCACTACACTTCATCACCGATAGATTTGCTAAAAGATCATTTCGCTCTGTTCCAGGCGTGCTTGTCCCCGACCACAGGGCTGACCTTAGCTAGGAAAGGTGCACTACCAGGCTCCAATGTCGTACTTGGACATGAGAATTCGACTGTCGTTGCCGACGATGTCCACAGTGACTTGCGCGTCAGTTAGTTCATAGTCGTAGTAGTAGTAGTAGTAGTAGTAGTAGTGGTAGTAGTAGAATCTATCGCACTCTCTCCTCCTCCCCGCCTAAGCTCTGTGTCAAGACATAGTCATAAAGACCGGAAACGGACGGATGTGCATGTGGCCGACACGACTGGACCCGCACCTAGGCGTACCACCCTACCCGCTGGTCCACAACCAACACTTGATCAGGATTTTGACCAACAACAAAAAGTGGGTCAGAGGGGGGAGAGGATGACAAAAGTCACTAAACAACCATGCACATGACCTGCACACCCAGCGGGGGCGCAGGCGCAGGTTACGGCAAGTAGGCAACTTACGCCAGGCTGCGTGGGCCATTATTTGCTGAACTGGTGCGCAGCAAAAACACACAATCCTTAGGGCCTTGAAGGGTGAAGCTCAGCTCCGCATCTTGACCTTAGCCATCACCCTTCGAAGGTCGAATAATCCGTCATTCATCGAATAAGAGGGACTATATATATATAACCACACTCCTCGCAGACATGTTGATAAGGAGTCCTGACAGCCTGACTCTCAGCTCATCAGTCTTCCACTCCACACAAACGCATACAACTGGGCTGACTGCGTGAACTGAGTCGAAACGTCAGCCGACAACCTTTCAGTGCACGGCACCTGGCGCGCCGTGATCGTCTCAGGCCCGGATCGCGCATGCAGTAGATGAGCCACATGGAGAAGGAGCCGAAATGCACACTCGCCACTTAAGTGAGAATTGGCAATCGATTTTGTTTGGACTGGGTGATTTTATTATGTGGTGCTAGTGGGAGAAGGTGTGATTGTGTTGTGTAGCCGGCGGCTGGGGGAGTAGGAGATTGCTGATAGAAGCGAACAGGCGAGTACCAGGTAGCAGTTCAGAAGATGAAGATGCGATCACTGGGACAAGAAGTTTATTGGCCTGACGTTTCGGGTTCTCACTCGAACCCATCATCAGAGACATTCGCAGATAGAGGTAAAGGTGGCACCAGGAATGCAGTATTTATAGCACGTGGCTGCCGTGGGACCGTATGCGCACTGCAATTAACAGTTCTCACAATCGCCGCTGGGGTCGTAATTGATGCGGCGGTGGCTTGGCGGTCCGAGTCCGAGTCCGAGTTGTTAATTGCCGCGATTTCGTCATCCGTGCTCGATGCTGGTGTGACGATTGCTCGGCAAACTGGCTCACTGTCACCGTGATAATTGCTCACCCGCGCCCTCCCCACGTGACTGATTCTCCTGCCCAGGGAAAATCGCAATACGGAATAGGCCACCGGGAGGTCATTGTGTTTGTTGATGGATTGCGGGCCTGAGAACCATGACTCGAGCAGCTCGCGGCTCACGCGGTTGTCACCCCTTGCGAGGATTTCGGCCTCTTGAAATTTGAAATTATGGCCGGGTCCCGTCGAGTGTGCCGCCACCCGAGAGTTAGCGTCTCCACGCCTCACTGCTGCTGCGTGCTCGGCAAGTCGCGTACGGAGTAATCTCCCAGTTTCTCCGACATAATTGCTTTGTCCGCAACTACACCAGATCCGGTAAACGACTCCAGACGTTTCCTGCCGTGGCAGCGGGTCTTTTGGCCTCATTACTTGGCGCCTAATGGTTGCTTCCGGCCTGTGTGCAACACCAACTCCAAGTGGAGTGAGAAGACGACTGACGGCATGAGGCCTCATTCAACACAGCCGATGCCAAACCTGCCAACATGATCGCAGCAGTGGAATCAATCCTCAGCCAGACGGGAGCGACAGACGAAACGAAGAACCTCATTCGACACCAAGTGTCCTCCCTCCTCATGGCTCATAGGCCGCGCGATGTGCTTTCCAAGGTCGAGCGTGATGCACTTAAAGAACTCAGGGCCGACAACGACCTCGTTATCGTGCCTGCGGACAAGGGGCGTTCAACGGTCGTATTGGACAGGACAGACTACAATCAAAAAGCCAAACGCTTGTTGGATGATCGTCAGTCCTATGTGCCATGCGAATCCAATCCCATGAAAACGCTGACACGCGAGATTAACGCGACGCTGTTGGCAATGGAGAACTCAGGTGCAATATCGCCAATCGACCGACGCATGGCGAGAGCACAAGAAACGGCCCTAGCCCGATTCTACGGTCTCCCAAAAGTGTACAAAGAGGGCGCTCCTCTCCGGCCTATCGTGTCACTAAAGGGCACTCCAACCTACGGACTGGCAAAGTGGCTGTTCCAACGACTCAAGTTTCTGACCTCCGATTCGAACACCACAGTCAGCTCGTCAACGCAATTCTTGGAGAAACTTAAAGGAGTAAGTCTTCTGCCAAGCGATATCATGGTTTCCTTTGATGTCACGTTCCTTTTTACTTCTATCCCGCAGGACCTGGCAGTCGAGACAATCGAACTACTCCTACGAGAGAAGTACGACGAAACGGAGAATCGCCTCGGACACGCCCAAATCATCCAGCTCCTGAAGTTCTGTCTCAAGACGTACTTTACATTCGACGGAACAATCTACGAGCAGGTGAAGGAAACGCCAATGGGTTCGCCGATTTCGGGACTCATAGCCGAGGCGGTCCTTCAACGGCTGGAGTCGCTGGTTTTCCGACACCACAGACCGAAATTCTGGGCTCGGTATGTGGATGATACCTTCGTCGTCATCGAACGGGACCAGGTGCTGACTTTCAAAGAACAACTCAACGCCGTCTTCCCGGACATTCAATTTACGATGGAGGAGGAGGAAAACAATCAGCTGGCCTTCCTGGATGTCCGTGTCTGCCGCAAAGATTGTGGTGGCCTAAAAACCAAAGTGTTCAGGAAAGCGGCAAATACGACGCAAATACTGAACTTCAATAGCAACCACCCGATCATTCACAAACGCAGTTGCGTAAGGGCGCTATACCGGCATGTTGAGACGCACTGCAGTGAAATGGAAGATAAGGTTGCTGAATTACAATATCTTCGACGGGTAATGAGAGCCAATGGCTACCCGCGCAACTTTGTCAACCAGTGCATACGAAAAGGACACCAGAGACCAAATCCAACTAGCCCCAAATTTTGGCGGGCTCTTCCGTACGTGAAGAACGTCTTGGAAGCCGTCAGTCGTCTTCTCACTCCACTTGGAGTTGGTGTTGCACACAGGCCGGAAGCAACCATTAGGCGCCAAGTAATGAGGCCAAAAGACCCGCTGCCACGGCAGGAAACGTCTGGAGTCGTTTACCGGATCTGGTGTAGTTGCGGACAAAGCAATTATGTCGGAGAAACTGGGAGATTACTCCGTACGCGACTTGCCGAGCACGCAGCAGCAGTGAGGCGTGGAGACGCTAACTCTCGGGTGGCGGCACACTCGACGGGACCCGGCCATAATTTCAAATTTCAAGAGGCCGAAATCCTCGCAAGGGGTGACAACCGCGTGAGCCGCGAGCTGCTCGAGTCATGGTTCTCAGGCCCGCAATCCATCAACAAACACAATGACCTCCCGGTGGCCTATTCCGTATTGCGATTTTCCCTGGGCAGGAGAATCAGTCACGTGGGGAGGGCGCGGGTGAGCAATTATCACGGTGACAGTGAGCCAGTTTGCCGAGCAATCGTCACACCAGCATCGAGCACGGATGACGAAATCGCGGCAATTAACAACTCGGACTCGGACTCGGACCGCCAAGCCACCGCCGCATCAATTACGACCCCAGCGGCGATTGTGAGAACTGTTAATTGCAGTGCGCATACGGTCCCACGGCAGCCACGTGCTATAAATACTGCATTCCTGGTGCCACCTTTACCTCTATCTGCGAATGTCTCTGATGATGGGTTCGAGTGAGAACCCGAAACGTCAGGCCAATAAACTTCTTGTCCCAGTGATCGCATCTTCATCTTCTGGAGTAGGAGATGTCGTGGCGTTGGCGGAACCGGTCGCTGTGGTCGGTGCAGGGATTGAGACACGGCGGATGATGTCGGTGATTAATGGTGGAGGGACAGCGACATTGTAATCGTCGGTGGCGTAGATGGTCGTCGTCGCGGGATTTGGAAGAGGTCCTGAGAGTGGAGGAAGAAGAAAAGGTTTACGTTTCCGGGTTGTTGGTGCATTTCATCCGAAGTTATCCGACGAGGCCGATTCGCGCGCGCATGTTGAAAGCGACCGGCTGTTAGCATTGTGGTGCCAGGACCCTTGTGACTTACGGGCCTACCGTTTGGCTTTGCTGACGGCAATCAGATTTGCTTCGGAAATGGTTGCACCGGTCCTCACTTCCCTTTTTCCTGGTCGATCTGCTCAGAGGGAGGTTTTCCAATTTGATCTGGAGTTGTTCCAGAGTGTTCTTCAAAGTGTCCTTATAGAGCCGTTTTGTCTCCCTTGTCTATGAGCACTCGTAGCGACATGTCTATATAAGATTTTTGGGTAGTCGCTCGTCGTCCATCCTCGATATGTGACCGCTCCAGCGTAATTGCGGTTGTTTCAGCATGATGTGGATGCTGAGGACTCCGGTCTGTTCAAACAATTCCGTATCCAGGATCCCGTCCTGGTATTTCATCTTTAGTAATATGCGAAGGCAGTTGAGATGGAGGTGGTTGAGCTTCCTGGCACGACCGAAGTAGACGGCCCAGGTCTCCGCTTCGTTAAAAGTGTCGTCTGGACAACGGTCTTGTACATCTTCAGTTTAGTGTTCATCTAGAAACCGGGGCGAGTCCACCTTAAGCTCTGCAGCCGATCGAAAGCTTGGTTGGTTTTGAGATCTGTTAGGTCACTTTGTTACCAATTCTGATGCAGTTGACATTGTGCTGCCTGGGTATGCAAAGTTGTCCGCTGTCTTCAATTCGGTGTCGTTGACTTGGTTGCGAGGGAAAGTGTACTCAGCGTTCGGCGACTGTCTGTGCATGACCACTGCCTTCTCCATTTTTATTATCAGTTCGAAGGTCTGGCAGGCGGCGGAGAAGAGATCCATGCTCGTTCGCTTATCCCCTTCGGAGGTAGCGTTGAGAACGCTGTCGTTGGCGAATAGAAATTCGTGGACGATGGCTGTGGATACACGCAGCTTGGAGCGCATTCGCCGACGATCGAGGAGTTGGCCGTAAATCCTGTAGGTGATGCAGCTACCGGGCGTTCGTCGCCGTAGGCGCCTAGGAGCTCGAAGAAGAACATGAGATTGGAGAGGGTAGGCGCGACGACGTAGCCCCGCCTCATTCCGTTGGTCACTTTCGCCCGTGACACGCGTCACCATGCCATCGAGGAGCTGACGTTCCATCTGAGCAAATCACACAGGACAGCCAAATTTCACAATGACTTTGCACAGTCCTTTGCGATTCACCTTGTCGAAGGTTTTCGTTATATCCACGAGGGCAGTGTAGAGATAACCATTAGTTATGACACTGGACGCTCACCGATCTGGTTATAGAACATGCTCGTTCTGTTGTGCCTTGAGGCTCATACTAAAACCCTCGCAGGCAATCGCACAGCGACTAGTGATATATGTAGATAAGGTAATACCGACAAAGACAAGGGAGACCGGAATGGCCATTTCTGGCTTATTAGCCGTCATCAGCCAGTCATACCCAACCCCAAGTGAGACCGGTCTCCCTTGTCTTTGTCGGTACCACCTGATTTACATTTACAACTAGTCGCTGTGCGACTGCCCGGGAGGGTTCTAATATGAGCCCGGGGGCACAACGGAACTAGAATGTTCCGTAACCTGATCGGTGAGCGCCCGCTGTCATAACTGATATTCCCGATCACAACCGACAGGACAACGGACCCGTGGCTCAATGGTAGAGTGTCAAACTCCACGACCAAAGACCCCGGGTTCGAATCTGAAGTGATCCATACTTTGTGTTGGGTACGACTGGCTGATGACGGCTAATAAGCCAGAAATGGCCATTCCGGTCTCCCTTGTCTTTGTCGGTACCACCTGATAAATATTAGTAGGTAGGCGACCACATGTCTACATAGATGGCCGTAATTGGTGCTGCGATTGCTCTATTATCGTCAGTCGTCGCGATGAGGATTAAGTACACCTGCCCTCAATTCACAGTTCATTCGAGGGACATAACCACATATGCCACTTCAACCCAGTTGAAATTCTCGCCAGATGTGACAGCTGCATAAGCTGCTAGCTGTGTCATGACTGTGTGGTCCGATGTCTCCCGGTTGACCTCACCTTTCATGAGTGCTGAGACACGCTTGGACAGCACGGTTGAACACTGGTCCCAGTGACCGTACGAGAGAGTCAAACTGTGGAGTAATTATCACGCTGCTGGCTGTCACCAACAGTGAACATTCGTCAAACAACGGCGCGTATGTGGGCGGCCCAATCACAGTCGCACCCAGTGGGATATTCCGCGATAAATGCGGGATTGCTGACTTTAGTAAAAGTGCGGCGACGCAACAACAGCCTTCTATAAATGCCGCTGGCCCTGGGCATCCGCTACGCCTGCGCGATGCTGTTTCCTTAAACTGCTCTTCTCGCTTTTATACTTTTGCCTCCTTAGCAACGTAGTCGCAATGCGAGTTACTTCCGCCAGTGCCCACATGTAGGTATAACGAAGCATGTCGGGTACAGTCCACCCAGTGATTTTGCCAAATTGGTCGAAGTCTTCTACCCCCCGCAGAATGGACGACTTACTGTTTGCTGCATTTGCAGTAAACGTGTTCACTTGATGCAGCCGCGCTTGTAGAATATCTTTGTGATTTGTCAGCTTCCGTTTTATCGGTAGCCGCTCTCTGCACTTCGGAGGTTGCAAACCGATAAACATTACAGCACCTAGGGCAATTATGCCCAACATATCTCTGAGTCATATATTAACCGGAATTTAACACGTACATTCAGTAGGATCCCCTTTGCATTTAGGAGCCTTTTCGGAATTACTTTTGACTTTTTAAAGGGCTTTGTACAGGTCAACTGTTCCAACACTTCATTTAGCTGATTCCTTCCATTGCAGTTTTTTGTCTAAAGAATGAGCACACTTTGAAAATTGCAGACTTCATCAACACCTGTTGTGGAATATATTCGACCGCCGTCTGTTGGCGCGTTCGCATAACTCCCACTGAGTCTGTTTGCCATAGCTGGTTTTTAGCCTGTCTACATTCATTCGCATGAGTAGGCCTACTTCGTGCCGCTCGTACGTGGAAACGGTGTAAATAAGCAGTTTTGGACGGAAGCACGGTTCTACAATGTGGCATGACTAGCAAAATTTAAATGCTACACTTACGACCCAATGACTCGAGGCTTAAATTCAGAAGGGTATGGCGAACAATCAGAAACCTAGTATCAAATGACGCGGGAAGAAGACGAGAAATTCGAACGAGGACTGGGGGAAACAGAAGAAAGTAGTTTTCCGAGACAAACAAAAAGTGTAAAGTCGACGACAAAAGGTCTCTATAAAAAGGTCAACATACGTGGGAAAGTACAACGCGTGGGCTAACTCATGAAATGTCAACCGAAATTCCGAAATTTGTTCTTGTTTCAAAAAGATTAATTAAGTAGAGTTGTAAAACTAATCGTCATGCAGCACAATTCCATAAAAAATCAGTTACCCCAGGACGCCGGCTTTCGAACGAACTTCTTTTCGGTTGCATGTAAAAAACCATACTCTGTAAAAAATGATTTCTTACTTAGCATGCATTTTTTCATTGATTTTTGATGCCTTTAAAAATTTCATCATTCTTTATGGATACAATGCATAGAAATAGACGTTTTTTGCTCATTCGGTAAAGCATTACGTTTTTTCAAAGTTTCTTTAAAAGGAAAGGTAAAAATCGGTTTAAAAAAGTCTCTAATTGTGGGATTTTTTAATGCCGTGAAGTGACCGTTCATAAAACATCATGTCTTTGCATTTAACCAATGTGGCCTTGTAAAGCTAACAAGGCCGAGTTCTCCTTCTAGACTGTCACTCACGGATTCGCAAATACCGTCATAGCTCAAATCCAATGCTAAATTTTATGACACCATATTGTCTCCTCTTAATAGCATAGATAAGTTTACGACTGTTTTACGCGGAAAATATATGGCTTATAGTTTGAGAACCATGCATTAAATTGTAACGTCAGTTCGGATTCAAAATTATTCAGGAATAGGAAAAGTTTTCGAAAACCAAATCATACCCTTCCTTCGATTGTAAAATTGGAAGACGTTATCTTCTTCCGAATGAGCAAAAGAGTGAATATTTTTACGCACGTTTTTGATGAGATATAGTTGGATTTTTAAGGGCATCGGAAATCAATAAGAAAGATGCATACCAATTAAGTAGTCCTTTTTACAGAGTATAGTTTTGCATGCAGCCGAAAAGAAGCTCGGCCACCTATTGTACAACTGTTGGCATCACAAGGCAAACAAGAAGCTGAGGAAATGCGAGAAAATCTGAATGCCTTTAGCCAGCCAATTTGAAAATAGAAATGTTGTTAGATAAATCACGCATCGAGACGAAATCTGCAATGGTTAAATGGTGCAATGTTTTCTCGACCAAAAAATGTAAACAGAATAATTTTCGGAGGGTACAGTAGGATTATGAGGTCCCCAAATTGTACTGACGATAATGACTCATTTGGGACTAAAAGACGTCCCAAATAGTCAGAGATTTTACTTTTCGTAGCTCCAGGTGTTGTCACAAGCTTAGGATTTTTCTCAGTCGGCACGAGAACGTAATTGCCTGTCTTTATATGACAGTCTCATTTCCGTGACAAACTCCGCAGTAGAAAACCTGTGAATTTTATTGTTTGAAGAAAGGTTCTTTTAAAAACGACTAATCACCGTTACGCACTCATGTTATTAGTGGTCATTACCACCTCACGTCATTTCGTGGTCAATAATTTACTCCTTGATGACGTACAGAACTCCGGTTGGTTGTGAGACGAATCAATTTATCTGCCTTCGATAGGCAAGTTAAGAAAATTTTACTGACTTGATGTATTTTTCTAATGCATTCATGGTGGAAATTTCATTCCAACCGTCGTTGGTCCGTACACGTCTAGTGCCATGCGTATTCTGGCCCGAACATCTTCAGGTATTCCAAACCATTTCAAATGCATGCACTTATAGGAAGCGTCGCTAAACAAAGTTAATAAATCACTAGGGGTGCAGATTTGACTATAGTAATCAAAGACTAACCCGCAAAATATCTATTACGAAAGTATACGACCCGGTTGAACAGGCTTTTTTCCAACGCTTTAATGCAAAACTGACAGAGTGCAGTTGAAGAACATTTAACTGTGGAATTTCCAACAGCAAAATCAAACACTTCCGCTTGCGTATTTGCGAGCATAACCAGCAAATTGGTCTGCGACTCGAAAGCTTCGATGGAGGAATTTCTTTAGTTGAAAGTTAATGGATGTATGCGTCTCACAAGACAGACCGTGTCAAACCTACTGCAGACAAAAATAATAATATAAATAGATTTAAGATATTTTACCAAAATCACAAATGATCTAGACTTGCAAATTACGACTACCTGACCGGAGAAACGAAACACCGATTCATTTTTCCAACGGAAGCTTGTTCGTTAAAAAGTCAGGATTAAGACATCCGACGTAATTTTGGCAGCTGAACAGCCTGGAACAGTCTTCAAAAATATGCTAATCGACTATGTAGGTACTCTAGATGTGTCCATAAAAAGCCTACTTCGATTCACAATGCAGTAGTTCCTCGGAAATATCAAGTCCTATTATATTTCTGCCGTCTTATTTTACGAGAAACTAGACGCCGAAAAATGAACTCACATAAGGGCAGATGAACACAAAAATTAAGGGGAAAAAGTATGACAACTGGGTCTTAAACTCTTTATCAGAGATAGCTGTAAATAAACAGTACTTATAGGGTGCATTTGCGATGCAAGCACATATCTAACAGAATTAACGGCTTCCTAATTAGCCTCGATGGCCGCAGATTTTACACCGATTTCTTGTTCCTCCGAAGCCGAGTTGTTAACCGCCGGAAGTCCATCATCGGTGTTGGTAACTGGAGTAATAAATTAAAAGGTCACTTGGCTTACTGATACTATGAATGGAAGTGGTGCTCGCCAGTGATCTTCGGCGTGGTCAGTTGCTTCGCATAGTCAAATCTTCAACACCAAATACGGATGAATGAGGCCGACTCACTAACTCATGGACTGTGGGTCAGTGATCCATTACAAAAGTCGCTTGTGACTCAGGTGGTTGTCAGCTCTCACGAAAATTTCTGCCTCATCAATCCGGGTTCCGTCGATTGGCCGTGACCTGGCAGCTGGCGTTGTTCCTCCCATCTGATGTCTCATGTTC